GGAATCTGCTCTCGGTCGGTAATGTATGAGGGAATCTTCTTCAGCGGCCCCACGGTGGTAACATTCGAGGCTCCATTTTGGGCCAGAATGGGGGGGGGGGGAGATATCCACCATATGATATCTGACGTTGAATATCCACCATATGATATCTGATATCTAATATCGAGCATGTGATGTCTACGATCTAATATCTCATTTCTGATGACTAATATCTGATATTTCATAACTGACAATCGTAGTTGCAAACATTTTCAGACGTTCCATTGCCGGTGATTTTTTTTTTCCTTCTATGCCACTTCAATAATCATAATTACAACAACAACAAATTAATTCATGATTTTGAAATTTCGTCTTCAAAATCATCATGAGTAGTAGAAACATGAATTTTTTTTCTTATCAAATCTGAGGAATGATTTTAAACTCGATACTTCTCTCTCTCTCTCTCTCTCATTGAGATTGAAGGGCGAACTGGTCCACTGGTTTACCGGTGAGCACGTACGCGCCGTATAACCAAAACACTCAGCCGCTTGGATGCGTGGTTTCGAAGTGGAGTGAATACGTATTCATTGGATCGAAAAAATGATATGATACAACATAAGAAGTATAATAATTGGAAAAAGGGAATTTTTTTCTATATTGAATGGAAATGAAAGGAGTGAAAAGGTTTGTAAAAATGAACATGAGAAAATTTTTAGAATGTGTAAATATATTTTTAAATTTTGCAAGTCAAAACAAAAGAACGATTTTGAGATAATAATTTAATTAAAAATGTCTGATTTTTCATTCAAAGAGTTCATTAAAATCCTTTTCATTATTGTCGAATTTTTGATGAGTACTCTGGAACCAATGTTTCAAGCGGCGCACATTTACCAAAGCGCAGCAAACTAACTCCTCCGCTGTCTTAATGTGTCGATGAATGTGTGGATGAGTAGTTTCTTTGAAGAAGCAATTGTTGATCTTTGGACAATTGTAATCATCCAAATTTATAACATGGTACGAATCACCAAGCAGTTGTTCCACATAATGCTGTTTCTCAAGACCTTTCACATAAATTTTCCGACTATTCAGTAGAAAACTGTGAAAAACTTGGTCAATGTTATTATAATCATAACCACCAATACTCCATTGTATTCCATGATGATTATTAGTTAGCCACCTATTGGTTACAATATCCTGCATCTCCAGATCACTCCAGGCACATGGTGGTTGAAAGAGGATGTTGATGGGGCGAGATTCTTCAATGTCTGGCGACTGTTGCACTGCCACTGCACTCAATTCTTTTATGATAAATTCTCCTCGTTTTCGGAATCCTTGCAAATCAATGATGAATGCCATGCTGTGCTTGTTCTTGTACAAATGATGGGGGGCTATGGGTTTAAACGAAATTATACACAAATACATCCATACGTGATTTTTATTCAATAATAATATACTGTGAGTTCGAGAGTATTAGCAGCGATGATAGAGACACAGAGGGCATTTAGCGATTGGCGGGGGGATTGGATTGAGTGATGAGGCTGATATTGAAGACCAATGCGTGCGGCAATAGCGTAGCTTAGCGATGCTAGGATCCCTCCGCAGCATCTCAGGCAACTTGCCCCAAGCCGCATCCACGGTGTCCTTGACAATGGTTTTCATGAAATGCTTCAGTAGGAATGCAATTTCCTAAGTGGTCAGTGCATTCAAATGCTGAGTTTCACAATATTTCTTCAAGGATTTCTCTAGAGATCCCGCGTTGTAGTTGGTGAACCATTTTTTCAAGCGTTGCACATGTTCAAGAGTGCAATGGTACTGGGTAGGACTACCATCAAAAAGACTCATCAAAAACAATTAATATTGAAGATAGGAATGTTATTATACCTCTCCTTGCGTTATCCGAGCCTACGGCAAGGACGTATCGAGGTTGTGGCACCCAAAAACAGCATGTTGGCACACTTATAGACAATGGACATACAGAAAGATGAATTTTCAAACAGTTCTAAGCACATTCGCTAAAACTGTGAATTCACCTCACCTAACCATCTACCGTCACTGAGTAAACACATCGAATGATTTATATCCGTTGCTACCCTTCTGTAGCACTTCAAATTATTGAATGAAAAATTACTTGCTCATCATGTCAACAGTAACAGCCGGGGGGAGGGGGGTTTAACGAATTTCAGGGATAACAGAACTTACCTCGAGACTGCTTTTCGATGTATTCATCTCCTTGCTGTTTCTTTCTCTTTTCTCTGTGCAATTAATTTTTAAAAAATCGGACCCGTAAGAAAATGACTCTACAGAGCAAGGGGCAATCTTCAAAAATTGTACAAAATATTAATATGACGTCAATCGCCACGGATCAAAACGTCCTTAAATAACACCAAATTCTAACTTGCTCTTTGTTGACTAAACCAATAAAAATCCACCGCTCCCCAGTCTCAACATCGTCGACAAACATACAGCTGTCCCAACAATACAAATAAATCTCTCCATTACAGGATGTAAGGAGAGCAAGTAAAAATCTCGGAGTC